CCCGATGGCATATGTCTCTCGTCTGTCTTTGTGAATTTTGTTTGACAGGTAATCTCCGAAACTACTGGACTGATTGTTTTATTTGTATTTTGGGAATGTCATATAGATGGTTAAACGCTAACCAAATTTTGTTTGATCATCATCAGTAAATATTCTTTTAATTTTTTTAAATTACTACTTCTGTACTTGTGGTTTATGAAACCACCTTAATTTCTTACTCTAGACCTCCAAATCTTTTAAATTTTACATTAGTAGTGCGTACTGTGTAAATTTTGAACGCTTTGCTTATAAAGGGCGACTCAAAAAATAATAATAATGAATGGAGTACCTAATACAAAAATAACTTTGAAACTGTAACCCGAATGCTCTGAAATCTTGTACACGTTTTAAGGTTATCCGTTTATTCTCCATCAAAAAAGTTATTATGTCATCTCAAAACTTTATATTTCTAGTGAGTTTTTCCATTACAAAAGTTTGTAGTGATATGATGAACATTTTAGCAAAACGTCGCCAGAAAACTTGTTTGATCTACAGACCAGAGCGCACTCAGAGCAATATCGACTCTAAGCGATTTATCTATAAGTCGACTTTCTTTAGACCTGATATAATCACATCCACTACGAAGAACTAACTAACTTACGACGAATAAGTGAACAAAGTTCTTGAACATCTTAACGATTTAATACAAAATGTTCCTGAATGACAAAATTTACATTTATTTTCAAATAAATAGTACAATAGTTGATGTAATTTAAATTTTATACCCTCCGTTTATGAATCCGTGTTGAGTTTTTACTTAGACGTTAGTTAGTAGAATAGTCCTGAACTTGTGGTTTATAAATACGTTATTGAGATTTTTCGGGTTTTCGATTTTTCGACTGTTCTATACTTCGATTTCTCAATTTTTCAACTTTTCGATGCTTTAATTTTTCAAGCTTCAAAATTCCAGGTTTTTTGATTTCTTGAGTTTTCAGTTCTATATTTCAGTTTCTCAATTTCGGAATTTTTAAATTTTCTATTTTTCGATTTTTTGATTTCTCGATTTATCGAATTCAGATGTTTCGATGTTTTGATTGTTCAATTTCTCGATTTATCAATTTTTCAATTTTTAATTTTTATTCTCGGCTTTCCATTCATCGATTTCTCGATCCTCTCGATTTTCAATTTTTCAAATTCTAGATTTTTCAGTTTCTCGAGTTTTCAGTTTTTCTATACATATTTTAATTTTTTAATTTTCCGAATTTTCCGAATTTTCAAATTTTCGGATGTGTCTCAATTTTTCGATTTTTCGACTTCTCGACTGTTGCTCTCCTCAATTTCTCGATCCTTTGATGTTTCGATTTCTCAATATCTCAGTTTTTGAATTTTTCGATGTGTCAATTTTTGAATTATCCGATTTTTCAATTTTCCAATTTTTATAATTTTCGAGTTTCGATTTCTCGATTTGATGATTTTTCATTTTTTCGATTTTTAAATTTTAGATTTTCGAATTTTTATTTTTTTTAATTTTGTAATGTGTTCTTTTCCCCATTTTTTAATTTTGCGATATTTGAATTTTTCGATGTTTTAAATTTTAGATATTTAGATTTTTTGATTTTTCAGTTCTTCATTATTTTTTAATTTTCTTGACTTCTCGAAGTTTATTTTTTGAATTTTTTGTTTTTCGTTTTTTAAACTTTAGATTTTTCAATTTTTCGACTGTTTTATATAAATATAGAAATGTCTGTCTCAAATTTTTAACTTTTCGATATTTTCAATTTGTAAAATTCTAGATTTTTCAATTTTTCGAGTTTTCAGTTCTTCTACATGTATTTTAATTTTCCGAATTTTCAAAGTTTCGGATGTTTCTCAATGTTTCGATTTTTCGACTTCTCGACTTTTGCAGTCCTCGATTTCTCGTTCCTCTGATGGTTCGATTTCTCGATGTCTCAGTTTTTGAATTTTTCGATGTTTCGATTATTCGATGTTTCGATTTTTTAGTTATCCGATTTTTCAATTTTCCAATTTTTTTAATTTTCGAGTTTCGATTTCTCGATTTGATGATTTTTCATTTTTTCGATTTTTAAATTTTAGATTTTCGAATTTTTATTTATTTATTTTTTTTTGATTTTGTAATGTATTCTTTTCCCCATTTTTCAATTTTACGATATTTGAATTTTTAAATGTTCTAAATTTTAGATATTTAGATTTTTTGATCTTTCAGTTCATTATTTTTTAATTTTTCAAATTCTTACATTTCTGAATTTTCAGTTTTCTCGATCCTCTGATTTTTCGATTTCTTAATGTCTCAGTTTTTGAATTTTTCAATGTTTCGATTTCTGGATATTTCGGTTTTTTGATTTTTTACTTCTGAGCTTTTCAATTTTTCGATTTTCCAATTTTTCGATGTTTTGATTTTTAAGTTATCCGATTTTTCGATTTTTCAATTTTTTAAATTCTGGAGTTTCGATTTCTCGATTTGTCGACTTTTCAGTTTTTCGATTTTTAAATTTTGACGTTGGTAAATATTCAGTTTTCCGATTTCTTAATTTATCTATTTTTGATTTTCCTATTTCTTGACTTCTCGAAGTTTATTTTTTGAATTTTTTGTTTTTCGTTTTTTAAACTTTAGATTTTTCAATTTTTCGACTGTTTCATATAAATATGTATAGAAATTTCTATGTCTCAAATTTTCAACTTTTCGATATTTTCAATTTTTAAAATCCTAGATTTTTCAATTTCTCCAGTTTTAGGTTCTTCTATACATATTTTAATTTTTTAATTTTCCGAATTTTCAAATTTTCGGATGTTTCTCAATTTTTCGATTTTTCGACTTCTCGACTTTTGCACTCCTCGATTTCTCGATCCTCTGATGTTTCGATTTCTCGATGTCTCAGTTTCTGAATTTTTCGATGTTTCCATTTTTCGATGTGTCGATTTTTCAATTATCCGATTTTTCAATTTTCCAATTTTTTTAATTTTCTAGTTTCGATTTCTCGATTTGATTTTTCATTTTTTCGATTTTTAAATTTTAGATTTTCGATTTTTTTTTTTTTTAATTTTGTAATGTGTTCTTTTCCCCATTTTTCAATTTTACGATATTTGAATTTTTCAATGTTTTAAATTTTAGATATTTAGATTTTTTGATATTTCAGTTCATTATTTTTTAATTTTTCAAATTCTGACTTTTCTGAATTTTCAGTTTTCTCGATCCTCTGATTTTTCGATTTCTTGATGCCTCAGTTTTTGAATTTTTCAATGTTTCGATTTCTGGATATTTCGGTTTTTTGATTTTTTGCTTCTGAGCTTTTCAATTTTTCGATTTTCCAATTTTTCGATGTTTCGATTTTTTAGTTATCCGATTTTTCGATTTTTCAATTTTTTAAATTCTGGAGTTTCGATTTCTCGATTTTTCAGTTTTTCGATTTTTAAATTTTAGATTTTCGAATTTTTATTTTTCGATTTTTTGGTGTTTAGATTTCTCCATTTTTCAATTTTGCGATATTTTAATAATTGTTCAATGTTTTAAATTTTAGATTTTTCGATTTCTCGTTTTTTTTTGATTTTTCAGTTCTTCAATATTTAAATTTTTCAATTTTTTAAATTTTGACGTCGGGAAATATTCAGTTTTCCGATTTCTTAATTAATCTATTTTTGATTTTCCCATTTCTTGACTTCTCGAAGTTTATTTTTTGAATTTTTTGTTTTCCGTTTATTAAACTTTAGATTTTTACATTTCTCGATTTGATTTTTCATTTTTTCGATTTTTAAATTTTAGATTTTCGAAATTTTATTTTTTTGATTTTGTAATGTGTTCTTTTCCCCATTTTTCAATTTTACGATATTTGAATTTTTCAATGTTTTAAATTTTAGATATTTAGATTTTTTGATCTTTCAGTTCATTATTTTTTAATTTTTCACATTTAGACATTCCTGAATTTTCAGTTTTCCGATTTCTCAATTAATCTATTTTTTTATTTTCCCATTTCTCCACTTCCCAAAGTTTCGATTTTAGAGGTTTTTGATTTTTCAATTGAGCATTGAAATCATTGAAAAGCACAACTCATTATTTTTTACATTTTAGATAAATTGAAGAGACTTTAAAGCATTTGGTTTTACAGTTTCAAAATTAAATTATAAAATGTATGTACACATGTAGACAATTTAGATTTTTTTTTCCAGAAATTTTAAGATTTAGATTTAAAAAATCAGTACGGATTCCTAAACCACAAGTATAGGAGTAAGTTATTTTGTAAAATTTACGTAACATTTACTACGCAAAAGTGATGTCTCTTAAAAATCGAAACAGACAACAGATAAACAGACTGAAACGGAACATGAAAATGACCATTGAGTAAGTTATTTATTCGATTTTAAAATTTATTTTTAATTTATTGACTTTTTTTAATAATGAAAATCAAAAGTTGTTTCCTGGAAGAATACGAACAATTTTAAATTGTAGCAAAATAGTTTTTATTTAGTACATTTTGTCACTTTTTGACCACAAGTAACAAATATTTACGAGGAAATAACCACGAACTTTCAAGGTAGTTGAAAACAGCAACATCACAAGGCGGCAAAATATTTGTTCTCATAGTAGAGCTCTAAAAAATGGTTACGTAAAACTGATAGTGTTTTATTTAGAAAACATGGAAGTTTTCGCGGAATTCTAACATATATTTGTCAACAATTACGCATATGAATGAAATGTTTTTGGATGCTCTGATTCGCGGTTAAATTACTTTTATTTAACAAAAAATCGTGTTAAAACAAACCATTAGCAAAAAATAAATAGGGCTAGAATCAAACAACAAATAGTAGACGTTATTGTAGGGTCGAGCGGCAAATTTGGATTACTTTAAATTAATTTAAATCTTCAGTCAATATTTATTCAAAGTTCTGTCACTTTATACACAAAATGTGTATTTTATTTTAAAATTGCTTGGTTACAGTTTTTTGAATTTTTCAATGTTAGGTTTTAGGTGTCAAAACGTAATTTTAATGTTAAATTTTCATTTCAGAAAATGACTCGTTCATTATGTTTCCTACTTTGTTGGATATTTGTATTTAGTGTTAACTGTTATCGCCTTCCAACAAACGTAATCCCCACTTACTATAAGGTACAAATTCTATCCCATCTTGGCGAGCCGAACAACTTTAACTTCGACGGACAAGTATGGATTCAGGTAAACACATTTTTTTACTTTTATATAACACGATTAACCTTGCCGCACTATCCGTTACAACTAAATTGATATTCATTTACACTTTCAATTTCATGGATAAATTATACTGTTTACATTGATCTTTTTTACAATGAGGTAGCAATATTAACACACTGACCCACTTGACCAACACTTTCAGGTATCTTGTCAAGAGCCAACGAACAGCATTACCTTACACTCTCAAGATCTCAACATCACCAATGACCAAGTCACAGTCAAAGACATTTCTAGTGCGACTCCGAAGTCCCTTAACATAGAAAATGTAAAACTTGAACCGCAAAATGACTTCTTAATTATTGGTTTAAAAGACGAGTTGTTGAAAGACCATCGGTATGAAATTTTTATTCCATTTAAAGCAGAACTGGCCGATGGGTTGAAAGGTTTCTACAAGAGTAGTTACACTGATGAAAAAACCAAAGAGAAAAAGTGGCTTGGAGTCACTCAGTTTGAAGCCACTAGTGCTAGAAAGGCGTTCCCTTGTTTCGACGAACCAGCAATGAAGGCAGTGTTTGAAATAATAGTAGGAAGGAAAGATACGTTGTCTTCGATCAGCAACATGCCTTTGGTTAATACAGAACCCATGTAGGTACGACATTAATGTTATCAATTTTTACTGTTTTTTTTTTCGCAGAAAAGAGAAAGAGGGATGGTCCTGGGACAAGTATGCACCTTCTGTTCCCATGTCTACGTATTTAGTGGCTTATATTGTGTCAGATTTTGGCTACAAAATCTCAGAACCATCGAAACTCAACAACGTCACCTTTAGAACTTGGGCTAAGAAAGATTCTTTGGAACAGGTTTGTTGTTATCATTTTTGTTTTGTTGAATCCATCTTATATTTTCTAGGTTGAATATGCCAGAGAAGTTGGGCCAAAAGTTCTAGAGTATTATGAAGATTTCTTCGATATTAAGTACCCTCTTCCTAAACAGGATATGGTAGCTATTCCCGATTTTAGTGCTGGGGCTATGGAAAACTGGGGCTTAATAACATACAGAGAAGCTCTTTTGTTATTCGATCCAAAAATTTCGTCCCTGACGAATCAGCACCACATCGCAAGTGTGATTGCGCACGAACTGGCTCACCAATGGTTCGGTAACTTGGTCACCATGAAATGGTGGACAGATTTATGGTTGAACGAAGGCTTTGCTACTTATATGGCAAGTCGGGCTGTTGAACATCTTTACCCCAGTTGGAAATCATTTGAAGAAGAAGCTGTTAACAATATTTTGAACGTATTTGCCTTTGATTCCCTTCGTACGTCGCATCCAGTAAGTCAAAATTTACTTACTTAGAACACTTAGGTACTAATTTTAATTTAATCTTGTTTAAGGTATCCGTACCCATTGGTCACCCTAACGAAATCGACGAAATCTTCGACACCATCTCCTACAAGAAAGGTTCCTTTTTGATCCGCATGATGTCCCTATTCCTCGGTGACGACACCTTAAGACACGGCGTCAGTAACTTCCTAAAAAAACACAAGTACCAAAACGCTGAACAAGACGACCTTTGGGCATCATTGACCGACGAAGCGCACAAAAATGATGCCCTTCCGAAGAACCTAACCGTCAAAACCGTGATGGACACGTGGACCGTCCAAACCGGATACCCCGTTATAACCGTAACCCGAAACTACAACAAAAGCACAGCAACCATAACCCAGCAGCGTTTCCTAAAAGACGAAATTCGCCAAAAATCTGACACCGGTTGTTGGTGGGTTCCTCTGAGTTACACAAACGGGAAAGAACCCAACTTCGAGTCCGCCAAGCCGAAATCTTGGTTGTCTTGCTCGGAAAGCGGCACCACGATTGAAAGCTTGCCGGGAGACGAGACCTGGATTTTGTTTAATATTCAGCTTGGAGGTTTGTACAAAATTAATTACGATGAAAAGAATTGGAATTTGCTGTCACAGACGTTGAACAGTGAGAACCATCAGCAGATTCCAATTTTAAACAAGGTTCAGTTGCTTGACGATGCTTATGATTTGTCGTGGACCGGAAATCTCAAGTACGAGATTCTTTTCGACGTACTCAAGTATCTTCAGTTCGAAGATGAGTATTTGCCGTGGAAAGCTGCTCTGTCGAATGTGAATTCGCTGAATCGACAAGTGAAGAAGTCGGCTATTTATGGCAATTTTAAAGTAAGTGTTTGGAGGGTGTGTGAAGGAGAGGACAAATTTTGCTGGTTGTAGATTTACATGAGGAAATTGGTTCGTTCCATTTATGAAAAAACGGGAGGGTTGAATCTCGCAAGGGCTAAAACTGACAGGCTTGATGCTGTTAAACACCAAGTGCTAATTGCTAATTGGGCGTGTCGTTTTGATGTATCCAACTGCATTTCAGACGCTCAAGATTTGTTTAAACAGTATATGAAAAAACCCAGTGATAAGAACATGTAAAATTAGCAACATTTAGTAAGATTAAGGTTAACTGTAGCTATTTTAGAATCTCGAAGGAACTAAGGAGTGTAATTTATTGCACTGCGATTAGACACGGCGGCGAAAAAGAGTGGGACTTCTTGTGGGGACAATACAAGAAGTCGAATGTCGCTTCTGAAAAGAATACAATCATGAATGCTCTAGGTTGTACAAGAGAAATGTGGTTGTTGCGGCGGTATCTCGAATGGTCCATTACTCCAAATTCTGGAATAAGGAAGCAAGATAGTAGTAGTGTTTTCGGCGCGGTTGCTGGAAACGATATTGGTTTTTACGTTGCTAAGCATTTCTTGAACACAAAAATCAAAGAGATTCACAGATAGTGAGTTATTTTAGTTGGTTTTGTTTAACACTTACAATTTTTAATTTTAGTTTAGGAGAAAATTCAAGAAGACTGTCGCGCTATTTGTCTTCAATTGCATCTCAGACAACGAGTGAAGAAGATTACAAAGAGGTAAGAACGTATTTCAAGTTAAGACTTTTATATTTTGTGTGTTTTCTAACTTGTACGAATAGTCTATCATTTTTTTTTTATAAAAAATTACGTCCAATCGTACTCTCACTTTTTGAAACAGACACCACATTTCTATCCTCAAAAAACCTGCCGCATATTACATTCTTTACCCGGTCTTCCCAAAGTCGTTTATTGCTGCACCTCACTCGGACACGGGTCTCCCCATAAGTTTTTAATTAAATATTTATTTAGGCAAATAACAAAAATCGCATGTTCCGCTACTAATATCTCCAAATTCGGAGAACTTGTTTGATCTACAGACCAGAGCGCACTCAGGCTAATATCGACTCTAATAACCGATTTATCTATAAGCCGACTTGCGTTAGAGCTGATCTGATACACATCCACTACGAAGAACTAACTAACTTACAACGAATAAGTGAACAAAGTTCTTGAACATCTTAACGATTTAATACATAATGTTCCCGAATGACAAAATTTACATTTCAAATTGTATTATCAAATGGTAAAACGCTCACCAAAATTTGTCACCAGTAATAATGAAATGACGTAATCTCCAAATTTTACAATAGTAGGTGTAATTTAAATTTTATATCTTCCGTTTATGGTTTATGAATCCGTGTTGAGTTTTTACCTTGGACGTCAAGATTTTTGGAAAAAAATCAACATTTTCCAATTTATAATTAAGTATTGGAAGCATTTTAGGAATTGATGATGTCATACGATTTTGTCGAATAAATGTTATTTAAGTGTTAAAAAGTAGCATAGTCCTGAACTTGTGGTTTATAAAGAGGCTATTGAGATTTTTCGGCTTTTCGATTTATTGATTTTTCCACTATAGATGTCTCAATTTTTCAATATTTCAATTTGGGGCTTTTTCAATTTTTCCATTTTTCAAATTTCTCGATTTTTTTATTTTTCGATTTCTCAATTTTCCGATGTTTGAATGATACGATTTCTCAATTTTTGTTCTCCTCAATTTTTCGATTTTTAAATATTTCGATTTTTCAATTTTTCAAATTTTGACGTTCATAAATTTTCAGTTTTTTGATTTCTGAAGTAATATTTTTTTTATTTTCCCATTTCTCGATTTCCAAATGTTTCGACTTTTTAAGCTTAGGATTTTTCTCGCTTTTCCAATTTTTTAATTTCTCAATTTTTTTGAAATTTCTTTCAGTTTTGGGATTTTTCAATGTTTCGATTTTTCGACTTTTCAATTTTTTGTTAAACCTTAGATTTTTCCATTTTTCGACTTTTTTGATACTTCGATTTCTCAATTTTTCAACTTTTCGATGTTTTAATTGTTCAAGTCTTAAAATTATAGGTTTTTCGATTTCTTCTATATGTATTTCAGTTTTCCGAAATTTTCGATTTTTCCAATTTTTCTTTTTTAAAATTTTTCGATTTTTCAATTTTTTTATTTATGGAATTCAGATATTTCCATGTTTTGATTGTCCAATTTCTCAATTTATCAATTTTTCAATTTTTAACTTTTGTTTTCGGCTTTCCACACCTCGACTTCTCAATCCCCTGATTTTTCGATTTCTAGATGTCTCAGTTTTTGAATTTTTGGATGTTTCGATTTTTGCATTTCTCGGTTTTTTGATTTTTTCTGTTGGGCTTTTCAATTTTTCGATTTTTAAATTTTAGATTTTCGAATTTTTGTTTTTGATATTTTGTTTGCACTTCTCCATTTTTCAATTTTGGGATATTTTAATTGTTCAGTGTTTTAAATTTTAGATTTTTTTATTTTTCAGTTCTTCAGTATTTCTATTTTTCAACTTTTTAAATTTTGACGTTGCTAAATATTCAGTTTTCCGATTTTTCCATTAATCTATTTTTGATTTTCTCATTACTCGACTTCTCGAAGTTTCGATTTTTCGTTCTTCAACTCTTCGATGTTTCGACTTGTTTTTTTGGTTTTTCGATGTCTCAATTTTGGAATTTTATAATATTTCGATTCTCCGACTTTTCGATTTTTTGACTTTCGGATTTTTCGATTTTTTATTTTTTGGATTGTCGGGTTTTCTTTTTTTTCGACTGTTTTATATTTCGATTTCTTCAATTTTCAACTTTTCGATATTTTCAAATTTTAACATTGTAGATTTTTCAATTTCTCGAGTTTTCAGTTCTTCTATATTTCAGTTTTTCAGTTTTCCGAATTTTCAAATTTTCGGATGTTTCCATGTTTTGATTGTTCAATTTCTCGATTTATCAATTTTTCAATTTTTGACTTTTCCTCTCGGCTTTCCACTCCTCGATATCTCGGTCCTCTGATTTTTCGATTTCTCAAATTTTCAACTTTTCGATATTTTCAATTTTTAAAATTCTAGATTTTTCAATTTCTCGAGTTTTTAGTTCTTCTATATTTCAATTTTTCAGTTTTCCGAACTTTCAAATTTTTGGATGTTTCCATGTCTCTCGATTTATCAATTACTACATTTTTAATTTTTCGATTTTTCGATTTTGGTCTATTTTGGTTTCTCAATTTTTCGATTTTTCGACTTGTCGACTTTTGCACTCCTCGATTTCTCCATCCTCTGATTTTTCGATTTCTCGATGTCTCAGTTTTTGAATTTTTCGATGTGTCGATTTTTTAATTATCGGATTTTTCAATTTTTTAAATTTTCAAGTTTCGATTTTTCGATTTCTCAATTTTCCAATTTTTTAATTTCACAATTTTTCGATATTTCTTTCAGTTTTGGGATTTTTAATATTTTGATTCTCCGACTTTGCAATTTTTCGAGTTTTTATTTTTTGGATATTGAGTTTTTCGTTCTCTTTTCGACTGTTTTATATTTCGATTTCTCAGTTTTTCAACTGTTCGATATTTTAATTTTTCAATTTCTAAAATTCCAGATTTTTCAATTTCTCGAGTTTTCAGTTCTTCTATATTTCAATTTTTCAATTTTCCGAATTTTGAAATTTTTGGATGTTTTGATTATTCAATCCCTCGATTTATCAATTTTTCCATGTTTAATTTTTCGGTTTTTCGATTTTGGTCTATTTCGGTGTCTCAATTTTTCGATTTTTCGACTTGCTGACTTTTGCACTCCTCGATTTCTCCATCCACTGATTTTTCGATTTCTCGATTTCTCAGTTTTTGAATTTTTTAATGTGTCGATTTTTGAATTATCAGATTTTTCAATTTTTTAAATTTTCAAGTTTCGATTTTTCGATTTCTCAATTTTCCAATTTTTTAATTTCACAATTTTTGGATATTTCGTTCAGTTTTGGGATTTTCTAATATTTTGATTTTCCGACTTTGCGATTTTTCGACTTCTGGATTTTTCAATTTTTTATTTTTTGGATATTGAGTTTTTCGTTCTCTTTTCGACTGTTTTATATTTCAATTTCTCAAATTTTCAACTTTTCGATATTTTCAAGTTTTAAAATTCTAGATTTTTCAATTTCTCGAGTTTTCAGTTCTTCTATATTTCAATTTTTCAGTTTTCCGAATTTTGAAATTTTTGGATGTTTCCATGTTTTGATTATTCAATCTCTCGATTTATTAATTTTTCCATTTTTAATTTTTCGATTTTTCGATTTTGGTGTATTTCGGTTTCTCAATTTTTCGATTTTTCGACTTGTTGACTTTGGCACTCCTCGATTTTTCCATCCTCTAATTTTTCGATTTCTCGATGTCACAGTTTTTGAATTTTTGGATGTGTCGATTTTTGAATTATCGGATTTTTCCATTTTTTAAATTTTCAAGTTTCGATTTTTCGATTTCTCAGTTTTCCAATTTTTTAATTTCACAATTTTGGGATATTTCTTTCAGTTTTGGAATTTCGTATATTTTGATTCTCCGACTTTTCGACTTCTGGATTTTTCGATTTTTTATTTTTTGGATTGTCGGGTTTTCTTTTTTTTCGACTGTTTTATATTTCGATTTCTTAAATTTTCAACTTTTCGATATTTTCCATTTTTAACATTCTAGATTTTTCAATTTCTCGAGTTTTCAGTTCTTCTATATTTCAATATTTCAGTTTTCCGAATTTTCAAATTTTCGGATGTTTCCATGTTTTGATTGTTCAATCTCTCAATTTATCAATTTTTCCATTTTTTACTTTTCGACTTTTCGATTTTGGCCTATTTCGGTTTCTCAATTTTTCGATTTTTTGAATTTTGCCCCCATCGATTTCTCGATGGTCTGATTTTTCGATTTCTCAATCTCTCAGTTTTTGAATTTTTCGATTTTCCAATTTTTCGATGTTTCGATTTTTCAGTTATCAATAGTAGCATGTAAAAATCGAGTGAAACATGTGAGATGTGATATTATGTTTGTAAATAAAAGCATCTAAATAAAAACTATTTCCCGAAAAATTCTAAACGCTTTTAGAGTCGACATTGGCCTGAGCGCGCTCCGGTCTGTGGATCAAACAAGTTCTAAGGCGACGATTTATCTGGCTGACGAAACTTTTCAAGGTTCTTTCTCTCAAAATGGATCAACATTTAAGATTAGTTTAAATTTCATAAATAACTATGTACTATAAATCTCGAGTGAGAAGTTATGAAGGGTGTTATAATATACCTAATACTAAGTAAAAGCACCTTAAATAAGTGAATTTCTCTGTCAGTTCTCTGGGAGTACTGTGGCGGCACAGTAACACGTCGGTAAGCGAAGAAAGGTAAGTCGCCTCGTGGTCTAGTGGTCTGCAAAGTGAGAGGCGTGGGTTCGATTCCCACCGAGGTAACAACATTTTTCTTCGCTTACCTACAATTACTATTATTATTTTCAATTTGGCCGGAGACATTGGCGTTTTGAAAAAATTATGTTGTTTTTGGAATTTTGAAAACGCTACCAAGAAAAACAAAGCTAGTAAAAAAAATTGTGGAAGGTTATTTTGACAGAACTTCCCTCGCCCTTGAAGTATAGGTTAACAAATTCCGCTTCGAAAGTTATAATATAATATTTTGCGATTTTCGTTTTTTTTCTGTTAACCTCTATAAAATGGCGTAATTAACATCCCCGCAACTCCTGCATATTTAAATATGAAATATATTTAAAGCAGGTAATAACGGGAAAAATATAGGAATTCTCAATTTCTCAGTATGCTTAACTTCGACTGTTTATGTTTATACTTCGACCGAATTCGACTTTTATCAACACCATCCGTTTTTGCAATTTCAAAAAAAACCAGGCTAATTTTAACGTTGAAGATTTTTTTGTGATCATCTCAAAGTCAGCGGTTTCTACAGGGTGTTATTGAAAAATACGTACAACAAAATTAACCGTTCTTCGCGAAGTCTCAGAAGTCTGAAAAACTTATTTTGTGTTATTAAAATTATAAGGGGAAAATGAACCCTTATCCAATCTTTTTAAACGCTACTGAAAGATATATAGGTAAAATTAATTTATTTTAGTAAATCCTAGAAACTGTAACAATCAAACTTTTGTCAAGACTAAATGTTGCTACAGAAACACGAGATGATCTTTTTATCAGAGGCGTACAACGAATTTGGACATAAATTTTAATAATTTTTATCTCTAAAAGGAGAACACTTTTACCTGATTTTTTTTTAACTTTTAGCACCCATGCTTCGAGACCAATTGCTGATTTCATTTTGTACGTACCTTTCAATAACACGCTGTATATGGATCCGCTGAAATCATGGTCAAAATCTTCAGAAATCCGCGACTTTTTAAAAAATAACCTTAAAAATGGTGTGAAATGTTAAAAAATTCATTAAAAAAAACTTCACGACAAAAATTGACGATTTTATTTTATAAAAAAAGCAATAAAAAACTTAATTAGGACAAAAACTCAACAGGGGTTCATCAACCACATGCGCAGGTGTAGGTATCTTATTTTATAAAATTTAAATAATATTTACTATTGTCAATTTTGGAGATGACGCCAAGAAATTGATGATAGGGATGATTCAGTAGTTTCGGAGATTATCGGTCTAATAAAAATCAGGACAGACGACAGACAGACAGACAGACAGACAGACAGACGGAAACGGGCGACCTATTGTTTCGTACTGAGTTTACGTTGTAAAAAGATGTTCTTACTTAATACTGTCATTAATTAACAATAGTAAGAATAATCACTAGAATGACGAGGGGGTGGGTGGGTGGGGCTATTACTTGCTTAGTAAAGACTCGGTTGGAAAATTTAACTTTACTCCCGCCCACCCACCCGTTCTCCCATTTTTGACATGTGAAATAAGAAATAAATCGTATAGCAAATAGTATAACAAAAAAAATACGATTAGCGTTTTTTCTTTCTTTCTATTTTAACAGTCTATGTCTATGTTCTATTAATTCCCTTTCTCACTCTACATATAATTTGATTCATGGCTACTTTCATGTTTTCTCTATTTTTCATGGCTTCTAAAGTGTGAAAAAGTAAGTCCGCATTCCGGTCTGTTAATTTGTGGTCTGCCCGTAATCCGTACCTACGTCCGTCGTCTGTTTTTTTTAATTTTTGCTGAACCGATTATTATCAATTTAGAAATATCTTGCAGATTGTAAAACTCTAATCAAAATTTGTCAAATTATCGCCCCTAAACTGATAACGTCGTCACAATATTTTGCTTGGTAAATGCCACTGAAATTTTAAAATAATAATAAAATACCATACGCTTGTACTTATGGCTTAGGAATCGGTCTTAAGTTTTTCCCCTAGGCACCCAAATTTTCACAAAAAAAAACTAATTTTATGACAAGCTTTTATACTAAGTAACATAAGCGGAACACCAACACTTGCAGGCGCTTTGATTAGAATAATGACTAGAGAGCGGATTTCTGTCGGGCTAGACAAGGCCAAACTCGGTACGGCTCGTACGGGATGGGAATTCATTGCAGTTACCGGCTGCACTTCGTTTATTTGAGATTAGAATAACGCTGCTTCGTTGCACTCTGCTGTTAATTCCAGTTCTCATTTACTTAGCCGTTTGATTAATAAATCGTTAATTGTATTTATGGAGTCAAGTGACAATTAAATTCAGAGATTACCTATCACCCGCTTCTGAGTCCCGGCGATGCAGCGCGTCCCCACCTATAATCGTGACGTAGCCCGACAGAAATCCGCTGTCTAATAATGACCGACCGACTCATGGGTCTTTTTTATTCTTACACTGTGACAAGTACTGTTTATATTTTTTTAATTTATAAAAATTTCGCAAAATCAAATTTGATATATTTTTTTTAAGAAGCTGTGCATCTAAATTTTGTATTTGTGCTTCTAGGACAAAAGAATTAGTTTTAATTTTTTTTTTATTGCAACTTACAAAAAATTTAATTTTGACGTTATGTTGAGTTCATTACATAAATTTTACTCATCAGTGTTTTATAATTATTTAGGACATAAATATGTCCAAGTCTACTATTTCATTCCATAATTTTTATTTATTTATTTAAGACAATCCATTGTCTATGAATCAATAATTTAAAAATCTGGGTATGCTATCAACAACATTTTCTTAAACTTATAATAAATATTATCATTATTAAATCATAATTAATAATTTGGAGGGGACTGGTGGGTAAATTTTGGTCAACAACTTCCAATTATATTGACATTAACGTGTAAATTGGGCTTTATGAACAACTAACCTTACTTCTTCTTTACTTAAGATTGGTTTTGCCTAACTAAATGTTACAGATACCAAAAACTGTTTGCTTTATTAAAATGCAATACCTGCTGCAAGTATTGTCGACAAAATAAATTTAAAAAGCCGAAATTTCAAATTTATTTTCAAACGTCAATCAGAATGACACATTGGCACTAAGGGGTGATTTACAATGAAATATTTTAAAGTAATCAGTTTCATGTTTTCGAGAGATCACCGATCATTTTCATAAATTCGTCAATAGGTAGGTCTTTTTATTTTTATATGTCAAAGTTTTAGAAGAAAATGATTTCCAAAAAATTCAAATATTTATAATATAATATTACAGTACAGTTACCAATAATAATATTAATAATACAAATTTTAAATTATTCAGTGATAAGATGTGACTGATTTGTTTTTGCAGTGTGCAGCTTAGCAAAAACTGAAGCACACCAGTGTTTTTATCACCTGATAAGTACTTAAATTTTGAAACACACTGCCAACGAGCATAAACTTGACACCTAAAACTTACTCAGCTAAAATTTGACTTGTGACCTCCCAATTAAACTTATTTTGATTGTTTTTTTGCAAAATAATGACTAACTGTTCATGAAAATTTAACATGGAGCAGTGGAACTCATCACAACTAATGTTTTAATCTTTGTCTTTACCTGGACTATGCAACCGTCTTTACACTGATAGCGTATGTGCTCCATATTTTTCTGAAATTCGCCCCAACAAAAATAGGAAGTGGTCACAGCATAGCTGTGAAAAAAAATTGCTTGTAATAAATATAATAAAAAAATCCTTTTAAACTAACTTTAATTTGTATTTTTCAGCTGCAAAATTTCGTAAAAGACAACAACATGTACCTGAAAGAAGTGAAAAAGGGCGTCGAACAAAGCTTGGAGACGGCGAAATTGAACGTCCAGTGGCAGCACCGCCACTTCAGCGTGGTCGAGAACTTGCTGCGAAAGCACGTCGAGGAGGACGAAGAACACAGCGACAATTGAAAACAAAGATTTATTTTAACTAATTAACTTTTAAATACAATTATCCTACAAAAAATATATTTCATAAATCATGTACTTAAGAAAGCAGCATTAATAGTTTTGATTATTTAATTGTTAAACGAGTGTATTTAAATTAAAAACAAACAAATCAAAAACCCTACATGAGCTGTTTGTTCTTTGTTAAAATAATAAGGAATGGTGTGATTATTGTTGAGGACCCTCCCCCATACCACGTTGATTATTTCTTGTCTATCTAATATCACGAATTTAATGATATAGGCATGTCATACCTACTGATCTAATCTAAATTATAATACTGGTCAAAATGTTCACTTTCTTCATTATTATTGGAATCAGTTCAAATAATTGCATGATCATGTTGTGTGAATTTGCAACGCATTTACACAGTTTATACACCGATAATTTAACGATACCATCCAGCTTAATATACAGAAACTGTAACACTGCGTAAATATAAATTTTCAAGCACTTAGCTCATTTATACTTTGAATCGAACGAAATATAACGGACTTTTCTTACGGTATACTAATGGTAAATCCACATTATTTAAAATATACAGCTTGGACTAATATACCATCAATTTGTAGCTTTGTATCAAATTATAAGTCGGCGAGGTCACCCGCTCAGACTCCATTTGATTGTACGTTCATTTGTAATCGTTAACAATTATATACATACTTCAATAATTACAAAAGAGATTGAAGACGGCCGTAAATTCAAGCGATCGATTTATACATTACAAAAGCTTTAGTTTTATTGAACAATGTTACAGGGTGTTTCACAACAATGATCATTACAAAAATCGCGAGAAATTCCAATTTCAAAGGCAAAATCAATGGTGTTATCACAACATTTGATTATATAAATTTAGCTTTTAGTCCTAGATTTATCGATAGAGCCGATTCGTGTAAAAATTTAGTGCCGCCAAAGAGAAGACACGGGGTAAGGTACTTAGTTCGAAAGCTAATACAAAATTGTCTTCTGTTTCGCGACGCCGTCACACACTTCTGAAAATAATTTCAGTCAAGGTAAGCAGGGAAAATGTGTTGCCACACTCAGATTTCTACGTTTCTAATGTGAAAAACACGTTTCTAAATCTTTGAAAAAAGAACACCCCGAACATTTGAGACTAGATGATTTTTACCAAAGCAAAAACAATATTGCGAGACAATTATTACATCATTTAGGAAGTAAAACGGTGGCGTAACAGAGTATAACTGAATCCAGTTGAATTTAAATATATAAATATTTGAATATCACATTCGGTTAGTCAATGGAATTTGTACTTCCTAAATAATTGATCTTAACTAACAGTGTTCCAAAAACTGATTAATCTAAGGGTACATCGGTAATTTTGGAATAGAATAGCAGGTAGGGCGTTGACGTCGAATTGGGTTTGTATGACAATTCTTCTTTAAATTCTTGACTCGTGATTGGTCGCACGCTCTCGTCGTCGCACTCCAACCACATATCCTCCGGACCGTTGTAGAACTCCTGTCCGTGTTTCCTCGGGTACGAATTAACGACGTTCTCGACGACATTTTTGTTTATTTTAACACCACAACAATCCATGCTTTTGCACATTCGTACACCATTCATCATACTCTTGGACAAAATACTCTTACTATCGGTTAAGGAGCCCCCTATCGTTCTGGGCTTGAAATACTTTAAAAAATTAAGAGATTTCTCACTGCTACTCGCGGACAGACTCCCCTTCGGCATGTTCCTCGAACATTCCGCGTAATCTTCGAGGTGATCTGAGGCTTTTACGTACGTTATGTAGTGACCTGAAGCCATGGAAGCCCCCAGATGCATGATAACGCAACAGAGACGGTACCTGTGAGGAGGTGCTTCGTTCTCTTCCACGTTACAACAAGTCTCGCAAAAACAAGCCATCTCCAGAGGAGTCGGAAGATAAGTGTTTACCTTCTGGATTCCAGCGGAAGACGTGGTAAAGCGCTTTAATTGTAGAACCATTATATTGGGCAGTTTCTCGAACAAGACGTCACGACTAGCCTCATTGTATCGCTGACACTTCTCACAAAGGTATTTATTGGCGTCACATAGCTTCTCACTCGTCACACAAGCCTTGCGGTAGATCTCACTCGCAGAGTTTATCGACATATCACCTTCGAGCTCAGTGTCTTTCACTGAAATGGGGACAGGAATATCGTAGAAAGGCTCCTTGCGCTCAGTTACACCCTCACACTCCAGACATTTAGTGCGCCGTAAAGTCACACCCTCGAAATCTTCAGCCACGAAATTATAACCTAACTTTTTCTTCGCATTATCTGCGCCGCTATCCACAGAACACGCATCTTCAGTATCAGTCACACTGGACCCGTTAACCTGTTCCTCATTAATCGCTTCTTTCGCACTTTTCTCCTTTTTCTTGTGCGTTTTCTTCCACGATCGTCGCACATTCCAAATTTTGCTACTATTCGGAGAGGGAATAATCTCCGTCTCCGTCAACAAATCAGGGTTCTGCTGCACTTGTTGCGTTAATAAGTCACATGTCTCTCTGATATTATCTAATAAGTAAACAAGCAGCTCGTGCGCGTCTTGCTGGTGGTTACCTTCAAAAATGTAGTTCGCCTCTCGGATCGCCTGCAACAACGCAACAGGTTGGTAAGCGTCGCTCGACTCCTTCACCTCCAAATTGTGCATGGTAATGTACAACTCGTGCAGCTTCTCCGTGACTATCTGCACTTTCGACTTGGGAATGATGTCGTTCGACGTGCCCAACGACAACAAATCTTTGCTGCTCGTGCTCCTAGAACTCGGGCCCGTGATGGCCCCCACGTTGCGGCCCAGCGACGACGTCTTCGCCTTGGTCTGGCTCAAGCGCGAGCTCACGAGAGCCAAATCTCCGATCAAGTGGTGCAAGTTATGCAAAAAGGTGGGGGCATACCGCAGGGTGTACAAAACGCTGTTCAGAAAGCAGGTGTTGCCCATGTTGGATAAGGTGGCGACTGGGGAGTCGTGCACGGCGTCCCCGTTGCCCCTTTGGTCCGTCCTGTAGCCGTTCAGCATCGTGTCGAGCTCGAGCTTCTTGCTGACGGGGGCTTCCTGGAATGCACCTTTGCGCTTTAGCAGCTGCTTCGCGGGCGGGTTTGTCGTCAGTAGACGTAGTTTGCTACGCAAAGGTATCACGTTCTCTTCTAGAATTGTCATCTTCTTTTCCAAACCTGGAAAATTTATTCGTCTTTTGTTTTATGGATGGCGCGATTTTTGCGGATGCTTACATGTGTGACGGTGGGTTAATCGTTAGACGAACGGTGTGATGCAGGTGTTGGGTTTAGAGTCATTACAACAAAAAGCCAAACTAAAATTAATAATTAGCGATCAACAGAGTGACACACTCCACACCGGAGACTTGCCTAATAAATCGGAAAAATGACAACGTGACGAAGAGAAATTCCCCAGGTGGTGGCACACACGCCCTGACAGATGTGACCGCGGGGTTTGAATTGAAGGGTTAAATTTGTAATTATGCACCAGTTTTTGTCCCCGTTAGTGATAACGAAAGCGTAACAGCAAATATCAACATTCACTGCGTCTCAAAAACCACCACACGTCGAAGAAAACAGTTAAAAATGGACTCTGTAATGTGGGTTGCCTAGTCGCTGTTAAAAGTCAATTATAAAATTACAGCGCATTATACAAATTTTTAACATGGCGATATTTACGTTTGGAGGTTAACTTATATAAACGTACCATTTCCCAGTCGTCGTTTGTGGCGGTTTAAGGACTCACGTTAACATAAATTAATTTAAATTCGCTAGACATTACACTTCGCATCTTCTGCACTGAATTCGTTACATAAAATATGCAATACCAATAACGGAAAAAAGCACTGAATTGTTGGTTGCATAAACACTAGTCAAGTCAAACATAAATGGAGATGAAATTGTATTTTGAGGACAAATTTGATCGAATCACGAGTTACGACAGATTAATAGATTATGTACCCAATAAATGTGACTGGATAAAAAAATGTGATATTAAATTCACACCACTTTAAAGTATTTTAAAATCTTAGTATAACAAATCATTTATTTTACATTTATAGCGTATTTGGCTTAAGCAATAATTGCGTTTTTTAGACGCTGATACACATAATACGACTTTGTTCCACTGCAGAACATTTTTAGAGTAGAAATAACATGAGAATAACATGTTGAACAGCATACCAGTCTATCATTCAGGTTTTAACAAATGCGGGAATTTTAAAAAATTTGGTCTTATAAAATTTAATGTCACCCGAAGATACAGCGGTTCATGGATATTGTTAAATTATGTTTAATGTCTTAAAAGAGCTTTAAAATCTACAGGGTGGAGTATATATCCTCACATCAACAGATTTGTAAGTGTATCATAAAAATTAGCTTAAAATCGAACTTGCCAATCACTGTAAAAATATGTAGCCAATGTAAAATTTTTCAAACAAGATTAATAGATTTATTGATCAACAAGAGATTAGATTTTAAATTAAATTTCCTCAAAAATGATGAAATAATTAAATTTATTTGTAGTTTCTGTTCAACTAACATATGTTCGAGCAAAAAGTCATCTAGCAACCATTGAAATTTGATGTTAAAAAATATGTTGGAAACACAAAATGTACTATTACAAGAATAAGCTTAGTTTACACATTCTTTAAGTAAAAGATTATTTTTATTAATTAATGACTCTTTTAAAAATAAATTATTACAGTTTTATTGTTAACCATTATTTAAACATACTGAGATGTAAAATTAATAGGTGCCTACAGATCTGTTGGTAGGTAGACGATTATAAATATTATAAGATGTATATTTACACATAATTAAAACACAAAAATCACATCTTGAACATAATTATAATAAAATAATAATAAAATAAGTGATCTAATAAAAGACATTGAAAATGTAAAGTAGGCAACCAAGTATACTCTAAACTAGAACGAATTTTTTTTTAAGCATCAACGCTATAGGTGAAACCCATGGAATAAAGTTAATTAATTTTAGTGGCTTGGCTCTATTTTTACATGTTGACAGTTATAAGTTATTATTAATTAATCGATTGTAATTATACGGGGTGTCTGGAAAATGGCAGATTAACTCTTCAGTATGTTATGTACTTAGAAGTAATCTCCCGCACTCACGCGTTCTTTAATTAAAAATTTCCTGCATTTAGTAGGAGAGTATGTTTTTTTTGTGTGTGGAATAGCGTTTTCGTAAATTCAAGTAGAACTAAAGCGTTTAACTTGGTTCTAATTGCTCCACCTAACAATTTGGCAGGTGAAACTCGTGTTTTCCAATGCAGCGTTCTCCTATTCATTAAAAACTTAAATTAATTCAGTGTGTTTATCGCACTGTTTGTTTCTAAAGCTTTCAAAACTGTACATATTTGTTCACCTGTCCGTTTTCTTCAAGAAATTTTGTAAATTAATAAGAGGTCAATTCTGCCTTTTGTCTGAAACGAAGAGAAGTTCGCCGGATGACAGGTTCCAGATTTGTTTTTGGAAAATTACATACTCGAGTTTTCATCCTAGACATCCAGATTTTTGGGGAAAAAATTAAAACTTCAAATTTATGAGTGTTTTGTAATCTGAACGTGCTCATTGCCGAATTCGGTCGAAGTATAAACATAGACAGTCGAAGTTAAGCATATACTGACAAATTGAAATGTCTACATTTTTTCCCGTTAGGAAAAAGGGTGCAGCATAATTGCAAAATCGATGTTACCTTACAAAAATTTATCATTTTCAACGTTTAAGTTTCTTGTTGTGAAAAGATGACTACGCATATTAAGAAAAAAGGGCAAAATATAAGCCCCGCCCACCCACCCTGTCTCAGTCCTGATGATGAGCTTAATTGCAAAAATTCTTATTTTTCTACGAGAAATTGCTTTGTGAAACCTGTTCTTGTAGTTCAAAGCAAACTATATGTATTACCTAAAAAAGAAACCCCACCCATCCGTCTCGTATAACTAATATTCTTTGAACAACCCAATACTCAAAAACATGTCTTACATGGTAATTTCTTGTAGAGAAATACTGATTTTACAATTAAGCTCCGCCCCTCGGCTAACGAGACGAATAAGAAAAAATCGTCACAATTGGGATAGGGCGGGTGGGCGGGGCTTATATTTTGGCTACGTTGTTTCTGGATATACGTAGTCATCTTTCCACAACAAAAACTTTAAACATGCTTAAAATGGTAAATTTGTATAGGGAAATACATATGGATTTTGCAGTTACGCTTAGCCCCTGGGTCTGGAAACGAATGAAAAATTTATCACGAGATACCTGCCCCTACCTCAATAGTGATGAAGTTTTCGTTCGTTGTTAGACCCAGGGGCGGAGAATAACTGCAAAATCCATATTTTCATACAAAAATTTAAACATGTTTTTCGTTTCTTTTTGTGAAAACAAAACTACGTATATTAAGAAAAAAAAAGGAAAATATAAGCCCCGCCCACCCGCCCTAACTCAATTGTGATGATTTTTTTAATGGTCGAGATTTTTTTTTTTTGGTAAAATTTAAATGCAAAATCCTTATTATTTCTCTACAAGAAACTACCATGTAAGACATTTATTTCAGTATTGTGTTATTCAAAGAATACTATGTATATTAAGAAAAAAATAAAGCCAAAGATTAAGCCCCACCCATAACTGCCCTGCTCTAAATAGTAATGAAGTTTTCATTCGTTGGCACACCTGGGGCGGAGCCTATTTACCATTTTAAATGTGTTTTAAGTGTTTGACAATAAAAAAATCATCACAATTGAGATGGGTGGGTGGGCGGGGTTTATATTTTGTCTTTCTTTCTTAATATACATAGTATTCTTTGAATAACGCGATACTCAAAAACATGTTTTTAATTTCTTGTATTTTTCAGTTAAGCTTTGGTTCACGCCGAATAAAAAAAAATCTTCACAATTAACGTAGGGCGGATGGGAGGGCTTAGATTTTCTCTTTTTTTTTTAATATGTGTAGACTTAAAATGGAAAATTTGTATAAGGAAATATCGATTTTTCAATTATGGTCCTCCCCTCCAGTTCCGCCTCAAAATAAAATAAATCATCACAATTGAATTAGGGTGGGTGGGCGGGGCTTATACTTTGCTTTGTTTTCTTAATATGTTTAGTTTTTTTTTACACAACAAGAAACTTAAAACATGTTTAAAGTGGTAAATTTTTGTGTGGAAGTATGAATTTTGCAATTACGCTCCGCCCCTCGGTCTAACATCGAATGAAAACTTCATCACTATTGAAATAGGCGCAGGTACGGGTGGAGATTAATCTCGTCAGAAATTTTTCATTCGTTGCCAGACTGAAAGGTGAAGCGTAACTAGAATTTCCCTCAAAAATTTACCATTTTAAGCATGTTTTAAGTGGTTTTTGTTGTGAAAAGATGACTACGTATATTAAAAAAAAGTAGTCAAAATATTACATTGCTGCCACTATAGATTTTTTAAATTGAGATTTATTTTTCACCGGTGAGACCAACGTGGTGACACTTTGACAGTTATAACCTTAATAAGCAAACTTTATCCATATTTCTAGGTCGTGAAATATTATCCACATTTTTTATTCAGCCATCACAGGGAAAGGATTTTATATTTTCCTCATACGTTAAGTGAATAAGAGAAAATTGATCTAGACGGAACTTTCCTCGCCCCTGAAGTAAAGGAAAAAATTTAGATTTTTTGAAAAATTATAAAATAAAATTTTGCGAATTTTTAGCAAGTACCTACACAATCATATATCAATTTGAATAGATGCAGTCTAATACTGATATTAACAGTGTACTATACCGGGTGTCTGGAAATTGGCGGATTAACTCTTCACTACATTATGTACGAAGGTTTCAGGAGTCCCAAAAAAATTGCATTATTATTAATAAAACAAGCTGTTATTTTTCATTAATAAATAAACCAAAAAAACATTTTAATAAGACATTTATGAATTATAAACAAAACAAAAATAACAAAAGAGAAATCCATTAAAGCATAACAAACTAAACACTAGAGATGTTCAAAATTCCTGCCTTGTCCATATAAGTAAGTAAGCTTGTAATGTTTCCAAATTTTGATCAGTTTTTGTAAAAGTTGGTCATCAGTACTTATTAAGATAAGACCGATTTTGGCAAATGACATTTTTCCCAGACTTACCGGTTGATTGTTAAGAGAATTAATCCGACATTTTCCAAACACCGGATATACAATTAGTGATTTATCTTATTTTCTTGATTCTGGTGGAACGTTTAGAAAAGTAGATAAAGATTATTTATAATACATAAATATAGTTTTTGGATACAGCTTATTGTTGGTCTTAGAATTGATTTTACTGTATTAAAAAAATACAAATAACTTTCAAATTAGTTTCAATAATTTCAACATTCGAAGAATATATTGTGGTAATCAATTAGACTCTGCGAGAAAAAACAACGCCGTCGAACTTCATTTGAAAAAACAAAAAATAAGAATGTCAAACCACAGCATAGATAACAATCAGTAGAGACGGCTCGCCGTTTTTCGTGACCCGTTTTCGTGGGTGGTCGTTCGCATTATGACCGAATGAGGGCGCCCAACTGACGTCTAAAATATTTGAAATTTGGCAGTTTTGTTACAATATTTTTGCCAGTTTTGCTTGTTTAAGACTGCTTTTCCGGTAGAATTGTACAAATAGTATAAAAATGTAATTTTCACAATAAAAGGTAAAATCTTTGTCCGATGAATTTTCATACCGGATCCCTGTTGCGCCTTATTCTCGCCCTCGTGTTTGGAATTCTTGGAAAAGATCAGTGGCGGCTCGTGACTGTCTGATCTGGTGAGGCGATGATAGAAGTTTGACAATAATATCATTAATAATATTAATAATCAAATTAATTAAATTAATGTGATTAATGCATATTACTTGGTCTTAGGGTCTTACTAGTTAGTAATGATAGAAGTCTTGCCCGAATATCGGTCATTTCCGCCTCAGTGGTAGGTCCTAATAATAATAACAATAATATTAATAATAACACCCATACACATTTAATCAACAATGTTTTTACAAGTCAAAATTTTGTTTAAACTAACACTTTCTTGGAGGGATTCGGGAATAGTTGTTGTGTTCCGTTCTAAAGCTTTTAGGCCCATGAAATTTTTAATGTGTACTTTGGAACTTTCATGTACTTTGCACTTCGGATGAAATGATTTAAATCGTTATATCCCGGGACACCGTATAAATATCACGGCAGAGCCATTTATATGTTTCGTACCAAGTTGATTTAAAAGACTTGGAGTATTGACGATTCTGTCGCTTATTCAATGGAAGTTAAATGAATTAACGGTTTTGACTGCTCGATATTTAGCAAAATTAGCCAACGTTCTAGCTCGGTTCGCCGTGAAAACGGTGTTTCAAGAAGGAACATGACGATATGGTACTCGGGATTCATTTTTCACTCACCTGTACCTATGAAAGAGACAAAAACACGAAACATCAACACGTGGGCTTTTACTCACCTTCATGCTAATTACCCACGCACCCCGCAGCCCTTCCGTTCTGTAAAATAAATGGGAAAATGGTTTAACGCCGAAAATGGCCGAGAAGCACCGAAGATATCGCCTCAGTTCCGAGCGAACGCATGTATAGGAGCATAGGAGCTGAGCCATGGAAATCCGTGTCTGTGATTGGGCTTCGTTGGTTCAAGTGAACCGACGTTCTGGCCGCTTCAGTTACAGAACTAGGGGCATAAATTGTACGGTATTCAACCGAAAATGTCAGCAAAAAGCGTAAAAAATAAAAAATCATCTACAGATTTGCCATGTCAACATATTTTTGTCACTAAAAATGCATTGAAAGCTCTTTTTTAATTACAAATTAAGTCAATCTGTTCTTAAGATATTTGCTTTGAGGCGCCGCCTCACTTGCCTCATCTGACGAGCCGCCACTGGAAAAGATAGTAAACATAACACATTTTTTGTTTAAAAAGTCGTCGCAAACGAACAACAACGGTGGTTATGAATAAAATAAAAACTGTAACAAATCAGCGTGTTTATAAATTAAATATGGACTTTTCTTTTTTCTTATTGCGATTCACGATTATACGATTTGAGCAAACTAGACAGTTTGCAATAAATTGCGTACGAATCAATTTTTGAAATTGTAAATGAAGTGATACTTCTTAAATTGGGTGGCGACATCTAGGAATAGTTTAGGCAACGACCACCCATGACGGCTTAAAATTCGGGTCAGAAAGAACAAAGGCGCCGACACGAGCTGTCTCTACTGATTGTTATCTATGCTGTGGTCAAACAGTAACGTAGACAACCAAATGTACAAGAATACAACCATCGGTTGATGGTAGGGGCTCTTGGAACGCAGAGCAGATTATTGATATATTTTTTTGGAAAGATCACTCCCTTCCTGTTTTTATCATTTCTTGTGTAGCAGTGCTAGTTGAAACATGTGTTAAATTTTGGTATGTAAAATTGAATTTGTAATTTCATAAAAAGGGCCATTGTTTAAACAAAATGAATCTCATTCGATGCTACAGTTTGCGTCCAACGAACGTAATTATTATATTAATGATGTTCTGGTCTGAAAAATGTGTGAAACTTTCACTAATTTCTTCAACACATGTAATTTTGCTTGTATTGCTTGTAAATTCCCAGCTCATGTCAAGATTTTTAAGAGTTGTAAATGTTCATAGATAAACAACGTGTCAAGAGATTGAACATCACTCTTTTGTGTATCACGTTATATAAAAAGTTGTAGATGTTTTCACGTAAGTTTTTTTATCCTAACTTTTCACCGAGATTTCTAATTGTTTATTTAAACAAATCTTGACCGATTTTGAAAGAAAAAACCTTGAAAATTTTCATCGGTCAAATAAACAACATCGTTTTATGGAATGAGAAATGCGCACAAATCTGTATTTAATACTTGTTTATTTCATATGTGATTTATTAATGCGACGTGGGTATTTTGTTTATTTTGTGGTAAAAATAAACTTTATTTTGATTTGATCTTTAATTTAAGTTAATGCATAATTTAAACTCATGTAAATTCTTTCTTGTTTGAAATTCTTGATATAGTGTGTAATTAAATAATGTTGCTTCATTTCTGGTAATTCATCCAGTTATCATTCAAAGTTCGAGAAAAATAGGATTTGTTTTAATTGAAATAATAGATTTTTAATTAATGGGGAAACCAGTTTGGACCAACAGCCGAAGACCGGGTAAAGAGTATAATATGCGACAGTTTTTTTAGGCATGGAAATGTGGTAAAATCGTAGAAGGAGAGAAACTTAAATTCCACACTCATTACAATGTTTTCCGTAGCCCAATTGGTAGTCAAGGGCATAATCGACAACCTTTTTTAATAAAACATCACTTTTATTAATAACTCTATTAAAAATAAATTATTACAGTTTTAATAATAATCGACATTTAAGCACATTGAAATGTAAAATTCATTAATAATAATAGTAATCAGATGTAAAAATAATACCTAGACATCTACAACGTTTCTATCACTTTTTAAAAGAAAATACATCTTTGGATCACGCATCTTTTACACATTACAGGAATAATCAAAATAGTATTTTAATCAGTTAAACGAAAATACAAGAAAATCATAATGTTGTCATAGAAGTTTCAAGTTATTTATAAATGAAAATGTTCCTGATGCACGGTCAGCCAATTTTCGACGGAATGATAATTCTTCTTAATCCATTCAACATTGCCTCTCACTTTTTCGATAGTACTATCGAAAGCCTGACTGGCGGTGCTTATATTGTTTCTTATTTCGTTTCTAAATCTAATAAGTTCTGAAAGTTGATACTCTGTATTCATAAATCGTGGCAAACTTTTGACCATTTTGCTAATGATGTTAAAGCCTTCACCATAGCTGAAACAATAACAGGTTCAGTGGAGCAATTGTAATTACTGCAAAACTTACTGTGACAGCAGTTCATTCCAGTGTGTTCGCAAAAAGTCAAAAGCCATTGTGTTTGCTATATTGTTGTCGCACACCGACTTGAAAACTCTGCTAGCATCTTGGATCCTTATACTGGAATCATTCCGGACCAAATGACCCAGGTACCTGTTGATTGCATTTGTATTAACTTTATTAACAGTGGGAAGAGGTTAGCAGAATAGCCTAAGATAGAATTTTAGTAGTAGAGGAATTACAAGCGATTAAAATCTTCACTTTTAGTTGTTTGAAAGTTTTCTAATCGCTTGAAATTGGAAACGGAAACGTAGAAGATATAAGTTATTTAGCTATGTAGTACCTTGATAAAAGCCATTTTCGCGTGGTACACCCCAAAGCGTCTAAAAGAACGTTCTTCTCGGTCACCGATGTTGTGTTGAGGTACCGGTTGAAAGCAAATTGCCACTCCGCTTCATTCCCTTGACGGATTGCCGTGCAGTAAACAACATCCCGTATATTGGGAGGAATTCTACAAATATGTACACATTTAATGGGAAATAACCACCCAACTAACCTATACTAACATTGTTTTGTGTTCCATCCATTGTCTAAACAGTCTATGTGAAGTGATGGCACACTCAGAGTCACTCTTGCGGCAAGCCCATTTCATAACAGTTTTTCGAATCCTCTGCCCCAAATAGTTATCCGAATAGTAATCTCTGTTAGAATTAACCAAAGTGTATGTTTCCTTGAAGATCGTAGAGTGGAATGTTTCAAAAAGCCCAAAACTGGGAGTCGATGATAGCATGTCACTCAAATATTCCAGTTTCTTGAAAGCTACATGGGTTGGAACAAACATGATGTCTTTATCCCGAAGTGCCATAAGCTGGACTAGCTTAAGTGGTATGTCATAATCTAACAGATTTGCCCTTGCCAAATCCATCGAGTCGCTAATCAATTGAGCTCTAATTAAGGGCGGCAGCAACATTATATTTTCGGTTAATGACTTCCAGTTTGCTTCGTCGTAGTTTACAATAAAATAACCTAGGAAGAAAAACAATCGTTGCAAGGTTATTTTAATAAAGTTAATCTAAGTAACCTGTTTGATGGATGTTGATGAGATACCATGAACTCATATTTAGATTCACGGTCACCATGGGTTCATTCTTAAGCCACACGGTCGGTCGAGTGTTGTCAAAGTCTGGATTAACATCGGTGACAATGGAAATGGGAACCCACCAAGTTGAATTATCGAGTGGTCTAGTCGTAAACAAGAATCTTTTTTGAGACAATATGAGTTTTTTGTTGGCTACATCCCGAATCGCGGTGACTACAGGAAAGCCTGGTTGCTTCGTCCAAGAGTCCATGATCGTCTTAACGTTAAGAGAAGAGTCCAAAGAACCTTTCTTATGAGCTTCTTTGTTCAAGGTTTCAAAAAGATCATCACGATCGGCATTTCCAAATTGGTGTTTTTTCAAGTAGCTAATTATACCGTTTTTGAAGGTTTCTTCCCCTAGAAAGTGGTTCATCATGCGGACAATAGCTGCGCCTTTTGCGTATGACAGTTCATCAAAAGTTTGTTTGATTTGTCTGCTGTTTTTAACCTCGAAGGAAATGGGTCTGGAGGATTCGAATCCATCTATCGCAAAGGCTCGATTCGTTTCACTAAACATGAATTCGTCTTTAATTCTCCAGGATGGTTCAGCCTACAAATGAGTCTTGAGGTGTTGACGAAGACGAAAACAAATAACTTACGAAATCGGTTCCTAGGTATTGTACATACGACGAGAAACCTTCTTTTAACCATAAATCGTTCCACCATTTCGGTGTTACTAAGTTGCCGAACCACTGATGACCCAGTTCGTGGGACAAAATGGTTGCGATGGTTCTTCTGCTGTCAACATCTGGTTCGTTTGTATTATACAACAAAGCGCTCTCTCTACAACACAAAGATTTATCTGGTTATTAAAAAAATTGTGTCCCTACCTAAACGTGATTAAACCCCAGTTTTCCATAGCGTTGTAGCCAAAATCTGGGATTGCCACAATATCAATTTTCGGCAGAGGAAATGAAATGTTGAAGTAATCCTCAAAGAAGTGTAAAACTTTAGGTGCCAACTCAGCTGCATATCTTGCTTGGATGCTCAAAGATCGCCTTGACCATATTTTGATTAACTTATCTGAAGAACCATACCCTTGCAAATCGCTGACTACAAAAGCCACCAAATACGTTGACATTTTTGGCGTAGTTTTGTAGTAGTCCCAAAACATATCCTTATAATTTTCACTAAAAATAAAAATGTTGTAGATGTAGTAGAAAAAGTCAATAGATAACCTACTCCTGATCGGACTTCTCAAGAGGCATGTTTGCCAAGGACGTCATATTTGAGAACCTTCCGATGATTAATGTGAAATTGGCTTTAAAAGAAGGCTCATCGAAACAAGGAAATGCTCGTCGGGCGTCAGTTGGCGAAAATTGGGTGCTGGCCAAATACCTAAAAAATATTGGCGTAAAATAATACAGAGCAGTCAAGTGGTGCTAAAATTTATTACTTCTCGAAACTATCAGAGTTTTCATCGTAGGAACTCCGGTAGAACCCTTGCAAGTGGTTGTTTAGATGTCCGACGTACATCAGCTCGAGTGTATACATGATGTTTTTGCTCATACTCTCGTCTAAGACTATTTTGTATCTCTCTCCTTGGAGGTAGTCCTGGCTTGCGATTTGCAAGGGTTTGTCGCTTTTGGCAGATTTGATTTTAAGTGAAGGCTTGTCGATTTCTATGTTCTTCACGTTGAAAATGATTTCGTCAGTTTCGTCTTTGATGTTTAGAGTCATTACGATGGAACCGTGGAAGGTTAGGTTGTTGAGGTAGGGTTTTATTTGGATCCTGCAACGAATTGGGTATAAGGTTTTATTTTATTTTGTAAGCGCTTAAGTCGCAGTGTCACAATCATACTGATAAAAGTTTATGGATCTCGTCGACACAATTAGTGACATTCATAAATTTATAAAATGATCTGTATGTACAATGTGTTAAATCTATCCTTAACTGGATTCAATTTGTTGGGTTTATATTTTCACAAACAAGTCTGGAATTCTGAGTTTTTTTTTTGCATGGATTCTCAGAAATAAGGACTACGATCAAAATATTTACGTTGTTGCGGTGAATGCTTTAGAAAAAATCTCCTTCACCTACTTTTTCCATGACCTATTTATACTTCGCCGATTTGTTTCAACAGGCAAAAAAACTTACAATTTCAAAATAGATAAGTGACTAAGTGCGGTGTGTGGAATTAAATATAAAATATTCTGCGGTGGAGATTAAATCGTGCGATTATTGTCTTCTGTGTCATTCATTAATAATGTTTAATGACGGTTATTGAAATATATAAATATACAAGGTGTTTCACCTCAAAGTAGACAATCAAATTAATCATCGATAACACGTTTTATTGACGTTTACCTTAAGGAAACGACTTTTCATGTATAATATAACAAATGGTTCGACTTTGTTTGATAAGATATTTTGTCAAATAAAGGAGTGGCTGTTACAACATATTTTTTTTTGACAGCACGCGATACGAGTTAATTTGAATGGCAAGTTTTGCAAAAGAAATCAGATCATGTGTTAGATATATTCGATTCATTTATTAAGAGGCCATTTTCTTTTAGTGCTTAATTTACAGTTGACGTAGGTATATATAAATATCAGGTTTCCTATGAATAGATATTTACGAACAAGTTGATATTTGAAACTGGTTAATATTTTTTCCAAATGTGTAAAAAAATAATGGTGGAAATGTGTTAATTATACATTCTCATCAAACTTTGTGGTAGTATTTTTCATCTGTCTTATAAATCAAAGTGTATGCAATAAGTAACATAGCTTAATTTTGACATTTTGATAAAATTAAAATGAACGCTACAGATTTTTGAAATGGAAGAAAGATTTTATAAAAACGTTGAGCTGTTTTGATTACATTGCTAGAGTCGACTACTTAATTAACAACTATTTAAATACATAATTGTTTAATTATTTAAAAACATATTTTTCCGGGTGTGTTATTTAATTTTTGGTAATTTTTATTACACAAATTTATCAGTCAAATCAAAATAGTGAAAAAGGGGAAATGTTCTTTTCATCTACACTTTTGCATTAAAAATTGAGGCCGGCATGTCAAAATATTGTTGGACAAGGAATTCTTAAAAAAAATGTTTGATGTTACCATTTATTTGTGTTTCAAAATGTATATTAATAGCGTAGAGACGAGAATTTAAAGAAAGTTTAAGGTTATACATAGGAAGTACAAATCTGATTATGCGAATTTTATTTTTTTGTGAGAACCCTGATAAGTAGAGAGCGGATTTTATGAAAATTGCATATCCGTTACTTTTTGCATATAAGTCTTGATATTTAATATGTGAACGAATCATGCTAATTAAAAATGAATACAGCTATAAAAAAATTGCATATTTGCATATATTTGCCTTCTGCTGCATATTTCACGGAAAGGGTGCATATTTTGCATTTTTATCAATTTTTGTGGTAATTTGAAAAAAAAAATATTGTCATTCTATCGACATTTATCTAGGAAGACGAAATTTTATGAATCATATTGCAAACATTGTCCTGAGCTTCAAATAACTTGAGAAGGTTTGGGTTTTATGGTAGTTTGGAGACACCACTGGGTGTTAAGCCATTCTTCTAGGTAAATTGGCGCCCTAATTACTTTTGGAAATACCGTTCATTCCCAATATTTTTGTTCGTTAGTTAAGTGCATTAATGATACATTTAGTGGTGGTCGAAGGGACGTTATAACGATTATACTATTATTTTTCATCGTGAGTTTGTATTGAAAGCATTTAAAGGGATACAGGTGTATCAGATGTTGAAGATAACTTAAATTAGTTTATGGATTAAACCTTTTCCTGAACTTATTCTTCAAGAAGGAACTGTGTTTTGTCGCGCCTGCCCTAAACCGGTAAGTATTGTTACATCTGTGGACGCAGTACGCATTTTTTCTATTTACAAATACATTTACTTTAGAATCACAGGAGAAATTTTTTGTTAGAATATTTCGAAAAATATCTAAAAATAAATTGTTACCAAAATAGTAATTAAATAGTTAATTAAATAGTTATTTTTTAGTATAAGAATATTATCTTTAAAAACGTGATTTATGTGTTAGTGAGATGTAATTAAACACTTTGCAATGTTATTTATGTATTTTTTCTAATAAAACGTAAGCTAAAGAAACCTGTTTTTCAATTTTATAAATAAATTTAGTTCGCCTATTAAGCTTCTTTTTTTAATTTTCTTGGCATATGCAACTGCATATCTCTGCATATATTAAGAAAGTTACTGCATATTTGCATAAATTTGGTGCATATCATATGATCATATTTCTCAAAATTTTGCTGCATATTTTCCGCTCTCTACTGATAAGTTAAAAAAATAAAGACGTGTATGCAATGTTAAAGTAAATGTAAAGAAGCGTGCTATGCGTATGTTTCAAATGAGAGATTTCATTCGGTTCTGCAGTTCGTGATTTAATCAATACAATAAATGGCCTCATTCATTTTTTTTTTGAGTCACTGTGTATTCTAATTCTAAAAACTATGAGTAAAATGATAAACCACAAGCATAGAGTTATAATATTTTGTTTATTACAGACAGGATTTAAGGAGAATTTTGAGAAGACGTCATCAATTTTTGGGAGGAGATAAACGAATAAATTTTGATTACCGATTTACCATCATTACCCAAAAACGTTTGCAAGATTTCAAAGCATTCGGTTCTGCAGTTTCAAAGATAAATTGCGAAATGTTTTTTTTTTCGAAAATCTGGATGTTTAGAATGGTGAAATTTGACACGGATTCATACACCACAAGTGCAGGATTATCTTATTTTATACAATTAAAAAAAATACTATTGTAAATTTTGGAGATGACGTCATCCCAATGGTGATGGGGATGATTAGCCACATTTTAGTTAGCGTTTTGCCGTTTACATGTCATGCCTAATGTACATACAAAATTTGACAACAATCCGTCTAGTAGTATCGGTGATTATCTGTCCAATAAAAATTAACACAGACAAAGAGTCAGGCAGACAGACGGACAGACAGACAGACAGACAGACAGACAGACAGACAGACAGACAGACAGACGCGAACATCGAGAAAACATGACAATGTCATCCGATGGACTCGATTACTATACTTCCTTAGCTTAGGCTCAGAAAGTAAAAGTGATCCATGAAGGGATCGAATAAGAGATCACTTAGATTGCGTTCCTCTTAAACTGGTATAAAATGTTATAAAACTTCATGTTTTTACGAAAATCTGGAGGCCTAAGATTTAAACCAGATTCATAAACCACAAGTATTATACTTACTTACTCCTATAATAGGAGTATGTTATTTTATAAAACTTAAATGCAAAATTTTGAATAGACGCTATCAAATTGATGTGGGATAACTACACAAATTTTTATTAACGTTTAAGCGTTAAAACGATATTCATAACGTATATACAGAGTGTTTCTTGTATTTAATACAATCCCTGTAACTTTATTGTTTTTATTAGACACGTAATTTCCGAAACTGTTAGACCGATTGTTGTCAAATTTTGTACATACGTTATAAATACCATGTAGATGGTTAAATACTAACCAAAATTTGGCTAATTATCCCCACCAACAACTTGATGACGTCATCTCCAAAAATTGTAATTAAAACTTTTTTTAATTCCATAAAATAATATACTTTTGTACTTGTGGTGTGTGAATCCGTGTCGAATTTTCACCCTAGACATCCAGAATTTTTCGAAAAAATTTAAAACTGAATAACAATATTTTGCAATATAATTTTGAAACTGTAAAGCCGATTGCTCGAAAATCTTGTAAATATTTTAAGGTTATCGTAATCATGGTAAATCGTTAAGTAAAATTTATTCTTTATCCCCTCCCAAAAAACTGACAACGTCATCTCAAAATTTTTACCGAACAAATTCTATTCAAAATAAGTTTTACCTTAGCAACTACTAGCCCTCCCACTCGCCGCCTAATTTCTCAGAAGGTATGGCGTTTGCCAAAATCAGTCCTATCTGAGCAAGCACTAGCCCTTCCCACCCGCCCCTATTTTCTCAGAGGATATGTTATTTGCCAAAATAAGACTTACCTTAGCAATTGGAAAGAGGAAATAACGGGTGGGCGGGGCTAGTACTTGCTAGAGTGCCAAGCAGAATGAAAGCTGACATGGGCGGAGCTTCAGATGCGCGCCTATCTCTTACCAGTGGCTTAACTGATTTATCAGAAAATGTAATTAAAGTAATAAATGCTCTAAAGACCCTATTATAAAGGGTGGGTGGGCAGGGCTAGTACTTGTGACGATAAAACTGATTTTGCCCTTATTCATCTTGTAAAAACTTGTGAAATTGAAAGGTGTTAAATTGCAAATTTCCATAGTAACGAGTTAAATTCCTAAATCTACCCCAAATTTTGGGAATACAATACTGTTATTTTTAGTATTACAGTGCACCAAACCAAGGTGTCCTTGCCAAAATGTTGATGACGTCATCACCAAATTCTGTAAAGTAAAAACGCAACTCAAAAATGCTGGATATCTTTCGCTGTACGAAGGAAGTTCTCAGCGTTATTTTTTGGTAAAATACGAAAGAATCTCTGAGTCCCCTAATGTTACTTTTTTTTTTGAGAAGCTAAAAGAATTTCAGGCATCCTTCGTGTTATAATTCTTTTTTGAGAAGCTGAAAGAATCTCGAGGCTTCCTGGTGTTATTTGTTCCTAAGAGGCCAAAAAATGTCGGGACCCACTTAAGAATCATTTTTTGGTAAAAAACGAAAACAAATGTTTTCTTTTGAAAAAGAT